GTCGATCCGCTCGTCGCCTAGGAATGTTCGGCAGGAAATTTCCATTCTCCCGACGGTTCGATCGGGTTGAAACGAACGGCTCGGGGCCCCGGCGTCGTTCCGGCACGAGTCTGCTCAGCGTAAAGGCCACGAGAAGAACCGACAGTTGGCGGAGATGGCCGAGGTGCCGTTGCGCCGAACCACGAGCTACCCTCGGCAGCAGCTCGCGGCTGGCTATGGCTATTGACCGAGCTTGGCGGACCGGCCGGTCAGCTGTGCGCCTCGCCGGCGGTGTGGTATTCTCCTCCGCGGCCAGGAAGAAGCCGTCCACGTAGACGAGACGGTGTGTCGTTCAAGCCGGCGAAGATTAACCGGCGTAAGTTAGCAACGGTGGGAACTGAAACACAAGCGAACATCCGTCCAGAAGAGTTGAAAGGAGAGCCAGCGGGGACTCCCTCAGGAGAGGAATCCAGCGGCGACGGTAGTGCTTGAAAGACCGCTCGGTCTCCGGGCGTAGTAGACGATAGAGACGGTTCCCCGGGGAGCCGTGCGTTCGTACATATGCCCGCGAGTGGAATTGAGGGGAAAGAGAGACTGACTGCTCCGGTCTCGTCGTCATTGTCGATGGATCGGTCCGAGTGAAAGCCCAAAACGTGCAAATCGCTGGCTACACGCGCTGCGGCAAGTAAAGGCAGTTGGAGTAGGAAAGTGAACCAAACGGAGAGCGGGGGTCAAAGAGAGAGTAAGAGAGAGAAGAAGAGAAATATACTGAGAGAGGAAAAACAGAGAAAGAGTGAGAGCGAGGGAGGGAAGGAGGAACTTGGCTCACGGGCAATACTCGAGACATGTAGAGACCGACCGGCTGTGCACGGCCAGCGCGGAGACGATCGCGCGAGAGAGGACCTGAGAGAGAAAGAGAAAGAGAGAGAGAGAGAGAGGGAGAGAGACAGAGAAGGAACGAGAGAACGGCAACGAGCGGTTCCGAGAGGGACGGGAGGAGAGGTTGGTGGGAGGAGAAACTGAGGGAGAGTGAAAGAGAGATAGATCGACCGAGTGTAGGAGAGACACCGAATGAAACAGAGCGAAAGAGAGAAAAGGATAGGCAAATAGATAGGTGTCGTGTACGTATGCGTTGCGAGTGACGAGTGTGCCGTTGCAGGTGTGTGCGCGTGTTGCAGGCAGGCCGCCGGCACAAAAAGTGCTAGGCCCAGTGGACTTTTCCATACCGGAGGAGGACTGCGTGCATACGTACATACGTGCGTACATCGTGCGTGCGTGCCGTCCGCGCGCGTGTCTGTGTGCGCGAGAGTGCGCGCGCCGCCTTCGCGATCGCGGACGGACACGCCGGCGAGTTTTCGGCCGAGTACCTGCGAACGAGGACGGACGGGGACCGATCGACCGACCGACCGACCGACCGACCGATCGACCGACCGACTCTCCTCTCTTCTCGTGGTCTACGCGGTGACTTCCGCTAAAAGAGGAGAGACGGGCTGAAAGCCAGGTAGAGTCGCACCAAAGTCAATTTGATTTCGTATAGTGCGCGCGTCAGGTGCGAGAAGAAGAGAGGAGAAAGAAAGAAAGAGAAAAGGAAGAGGGTTGGTGAGAGAGAGAAAGAGAGAGAGAGAGACCAGGACGTTGCAGCATCGACATTGAAAGAATTCTTTTACGTGGACGGCTTTATCGGGTGGAAGCGACCGCGGAATCGTCGACAGCGAGAAGAGGAGGTAATAGGATCGTCCGTCACTGAGGTCTACCTTGCCGGCCGAGAGAGAGAGGGAAAGAGGGAAGAAGATAGCGAGAGAAAGAGCGAGCGAGTGAGCCAGCTTGGTACACACGAACTCCGTTCCGACTCTGACTCCTCCGTCGCCACTAACTCGCGGTCGGTAAAGTGTCGGGACGACGACGGCGGTGGTGATCCGGCGAGACACGACCGTTCGCGAACGAACGGCTGGCAGTCGCGGCCTTCTAGTGGACGTGATAAGGACGAGCGGCGCGATCCGTCCCGGTGAACGAAGTGGTCGGTTGTGCGAAGCGCGAGAAGAAGCTGCGAAGGGAAGACAACAGGAAGAAAGGAAGCGGTCGGCGGATATTCGAAGGTTGCGGCTTCTCGATCGGAGAATTTGGTGTTGCATTTAATACTACATACTCCAATTGTGCCGATACTCACGAGATTCTAAAGGAACTTGAGGAGATCTAGGAAGCGAGATACTAAAGAAAATAAAATCCCCGCGGAGGAGAAAGCTAACGTCGACGACGAGAGAAGATATATAAGTCCTTGATCGACAATCCGTTACTACGTGGGCTTAATCACGGTCGACGGTGCGGAGAAGGCAGAAGATAGCCAAAAGGAAGAAAGGAAGTAGCCGGTGCGTCCTTGATGGCCCATCCGGTGGTACGTGATCGAGCTGTGTCGCGACCGACATTGGCTCGGCTCCGTCGCATCGAGGGAGATTAGAGGCGATCCACGTTTTACTCGCTTCATTCGGCAGACAACGAACGCCGGCGAAGCGACGGGAGCAACGAAGGAGAGCTACGAGGGGGGGAGTGAGGAGAGGAGAGGATCTACTTGCTGATCAGCGTGAACCCCGGGCGATAAGCGGCTCCCGTCTCGAGTTGACGAGCCGCTGACTCGGCGGACACGGGAGCCGGTTGTTTCAACGCTATTAGTGCCCACGATGACTTCAATTATCCGCGAGTGACTTCCACGTTTGCGCGACGGTTTGTCTGCCGCCTGATCTGGTCGTTTTGCGACCACCCGCTGCGCTCTGTGCCGGTTTCCTTAACAGAAACGAGGACTCTCCCTGACTTCCACGTGTCGAGAACTGCCGATTCTGGATCCTTGTGAGTGATCTCGTGGCAACGTTTCGACCGGAAATGTGCGATTGAACGTACCGAAAGATCTCTCTTCCGTACGATCGCACACATCGTTGATCTACCTGGAGTCTCAACTTGATCTACCATTATTAATTGCTTTGAGGATAATCCAGCAGCGTCGTTCCATCGGATTAATTCGTCCGGGACGAATTTCCAGATTAACGGACGGGCGATCGCCTTTCACTCTATCCGGGATTACTCCGGGATCGTGCTCGATAAGCCACGAGGATTCCCGTACGCTCGCGCTCGCGCGCGAGGCTACGCTTGAAAATCGCTCGGTGTCGTTGCTTGACAAAACCGGTTTCGTTCGGCTCAGCGAATCTCGGCGTTTATACAAAGGTCGTGTGTGAGAGCGCGCCGCGCGCGCGGCCACGGGAGAGTGTATGGTAGGAGTGAGATTTATGGAAAACGAATTTACACGAGGTCACACCCACGGGAGTGGCTGTATATTTTTCTATCTTTTTATTCTGTATTTTCGTTTCGTTCTCTATCCCCCTCGTCCTGTCTCTTTGTAACTCGCACTTTCTTCCAATCCGCCTCTGGGTCTATTAGTTTATCCACGCGTTTTCTTTATTAATAATAACGACGAAGCCGATACAACAGAGAATTGTCGGCCAGACCACGTTGAAGATCCTTGAAGGAACGTGATCTCGATCGCAAGAGAGTGATATCGCTCTGATATCAGCCAACCGAATAAATATGCCACATTCGCGGCGGCCTTGAAGAATTTTCTTCGAGCCGACAGTCACCGTGCGCAGGATCAGCGAACTCGATATCGCCGGCAACGAAGCACAAGGGAATTCACAAGGCGGCTCATCATGCTAGCGACCTTGAGTATCCAAGTGTCTCCGATGACTGAGAATCGCGATCGATCGAGTACGTAACTACCGGACGGCGAATCTCGAAGATTTTGGAGGATGTCGGGGGACCTGGGTGGCCCGCGGGAGGAGCAGGACTCGTCGGCTGAGTCGAACAGCAGCAACGTGTCAGTTGCGGAAATATCATCGCCGAGGAAAATTTAGCTGTCTTGCCACGAGCACTTGCTTGATGATCGGTCACGGCAACGATGAAGCGTGCTACGAGCGCATCCGTTGCGGCCGCCACGGCCGCCGCGACGCAAGTGCATCACCAGGCGAGGATCCAGGAGTTGTTCTCTCCCGGATCAATGCCGACGGCGGCGGCGGCGACGATGACGACGACGTTGACGACGACACTGACGACGACGGCGACGACGACGACGACATCGACGAACACGAATACGACGACGATCGTCGGCACCTGCACAGACGAGCTAGATAAGCAAATTACGATATCCTCCCGGCTGGAGTCGAAAGGCTCACCGAAGATTAGTCCTGGAACAGGCGACGATAGCAAGGCTAAGTCTACAGTAATGTCGCGATTATTAGCTGTCGATTCAGATAACTACATGCTGCGCAAGGCCGCCACGACGGCGACGACGGCGGCTACCAACGGCGCCACGGCGCCGTCGTCTAACACCTCATCGTCATCATCGTCGTCGTCGTCGTCGTCATCGTTGAATGGTTCCGCGAGTATGCAACTGCAACGGCAGATGCAGAATCTTGCCATCGGATCGGCCACCGCACCGTCGATCCTCGCAACGTACGGCAACGGCAGTGATCACGTTGTCGGTCAGCTGTACGATGTCACGCGGGCAACGTCCAGATCGACGGCGACGTACGTATCACCCAGGTGGTACACCACCAGTAATAATAACCAGGCGACGAGGCAGCATCGGGAAGGAACGGCGGTAGCGGCGACCGCGCAACTCGAGGAGCAATCCTTGCAGCAGCTGCAGTCGCGTACGGCGACGTCGACGTCGACGCGCGACGACGCGACGACGCCCGCGGCGTCGGCGGCGGACGGTGTCGAGAGCGAGCTCGGTTTCACGAGGCCGGTGTGCGCGAGACCGGTGTCCTTTCATCGGTACATGTGTTGGTGTAGCGCGCAGCAGCAGCTGCAGCTGCAGCAGCCTGCTGTGACGGAGGGCGTCGACGCGAACTCCTCGATCGGTCGCGCGAAGGGTGCCAGGGGCTCAGCCACCCACGAGGGGTCGGCAACGAGACGAACTGTGCGCGATGATAATAGTAGTCTATGTTGCTGTATGTGCGGTTCTCTATGTCCTGCAGAGTGCCACGCGTGCTTCCACATCGTGTGCTCGGACTACAGCGGCCAGCACCTGTGCAAATGGACTACCAAGGGTCACGCGCTACCGGGCCAGGTTCACGACAAGGACAAGGTCAGTAAGCCAATGCTTCCTCATTATGTTACGAACGGCGTACCGTTCGAATTAATTATACTTGAGTTGTGCTCACGTCTTTCGGTATCTTTCATTTTTCTTTAAAGTGATCTCTTAGTTGAACAGTAAAACGAATCTTATTAAGATTCATTGCAATGCGAGCTATAGTCACATTAAAAAAGATATTATTTAAAGAATTTGTGGAATTCTTGTATGGAATGAAATCTAGTTATACGAAATTATAAAAAAAATTTTTAATTGTCCTTTGATGTTTTGTACAAAAACGGTTTTTACATACAAATCTATTGAGAAGTAATGACAATTATTTTTTAATTTTTAAATGAGTAGGTGAAATAGTAATGTTAGTTTGTTAAAAATTTTGAAAAAGAACTTTTAAAAACTGATAAGAAAGAAAAAAAGCGTTTTTCAGAGATCTTAAAATACACACTTATATACTTATTTTAAAGAACACATTTCTCTATCTGATAAGGGAGTACTATCTAATGTAAATTTAATTATAACATAAAATATTAATAAAAAATGTAACTGTAAAATTAAGAAAGATTTTAGGGTATATCTCACCTACCAATTTGTATTCCACCTTATTCCTTAGACCACCTATCTACGATGCTTAAAGATTAAAATAAAGATTATGTTCAATAATTATTTTTGTCATGAAAGACCGTTCTTCAGTAAATAGAATGCGCTGAATACGAATATGACCTCAAAAGTTATCTTTCATGTAAGGTTTCCAAGAAAGAAGGGATTGAAACCTCCTAAAATTGTGTTTGTAACTTTGTTCATAAATTCATTACGCATAATTCAGATGTTACAGCAACTTTATGAAGGTCTAACATTGAAGTTTCGACTTTTATCTTTTTGAAAAATTTAAAAATATAAAGTCCAATTTTGTAAAAAGCCATATTCATTGAAATTTACACTAGTTTACTCTTATGTGACAGCTATATTCGATTTCTCATTTCGAATTTTAAAAATCTGACTTTAGATTCGTAATTAGCGAGCCAAAAAACATAAAAGTACAAAATTTCACATAAATCCGTCAGGTAGAAAAAATATACCCCTTCAAAGGGTTAATAAAATTAAAAATTAATTTTACTTTTGTAAATATTTAGTAAGTATTACCAAGCATAATAATATAACCAAATGGATAATAATTACTATAAATTTATAAAAGTAAAATTATTTTTAGTTGATCAAACGTTTTTATTAAAATTATTTCTTTCAACATTTTTGGCGACTATTATCAAATTCTTTTTTCATTATAGCAGACTGCTGGTGAATGATTATTGAACATGGTCTTTATTTTGAAGAATAAATGTCGTTGTTTCTGAATAAATTTGTATACAAAAACCGTTTTTATACATAAAACTGAAAGGTAATTTAAAACTTTTTTAATAACGTAGTATTATCGATATCTCTTCGTTTTTATTAGTATATCTTAATATTTTAAAACATAGACCGATTTATGTATGATTTGTATCTTTCGTACATATGTAGATTCTATGACGCTTTTAAAATCGACAAAATTATCTCTCGTGCATGCACTATCACAGTTTGGCAAAATAAAAACGTGCAGAATCCTCGCGCAATATTCAAGGCAAAGTACATAACACTTAACAATGAAAATTGAACATCGATAAATTTTCACCTGTATCGAGACTCTACATAGCGCGTGGAAATATCAAGCTCGGAAACTCAAAATACTTCTAGTGATAACAATTTATCTTTGATTATGTTTCAACGGTGATTGATGTTTTATAAAATGCAGGAAATCTTAACATGCCATTCTGCACGTAAAATCGATGATGTGCAAAGCATTTTTTTTTATCGTGACACGAAATTTTATCTTCTTCCGTTTTTCTTTCGCTTTTTTTCAATGAATATGTTTGTGTGTTCAATTTTTTTTTCACTATCTTTAACCAAACGAAATTATGGAGAAACTTTTTATATTACCTTGAAAAAGTCTTGAAATTTCTCAATTAAATTAAAATAATTTATAATAAATAATTTATCGAGAACACTAAAACACGATTTCTTTACCGGCGTCGTCTTGATATAAGAAAAAAATGAATTATTCCTATTTCCAGTCATTGGGATTTGTATAAGATTTTGACATATATTTTTCGACTATGAGAGAAAAACCATCTATAGGATGTAAATTTTATATCTATTATAATCGTGAATTTTACATAAATGCACAAATGGCATGTCGTTATCAGGGCGAGACCTGTTTGAAATTCGATAGCGTAACGACCTAAATTCGACAGCGTCTGCCATGAAATTATGATAGGGAAAAAGAGGTAAAAAAAGGGATTTAAATGTCGTTTCTTTCTTTTTCATAAAAACTGATAACATGAGTTGTCCGAGCTAGAAGCATAAAATATCCGAGTTAGTATTGCGCGTTTCTTATTAGCACAATACAAAAATAAAATTAATACGATTAAAAATATTATACATATTTCGTGATATAATACATATAATGCAATATAATGCGTATAAATTTGAGAGATGATAATTTATCGAAACCTTTTGTCCTAATATTGATATTTCTTGTAAGAATATTCATTAAAGAAAACAATATGAATGGTTTTTTTTAAACTTTGTGTAACTATACGTTACGTAAATAATTGCATCTTTTTTATTTTACCGATGGAATGAAAATCAGTAGGTGTGTGAAAGCTATAATGAAATAAATCATCTAAACGCGGGAAGTAATAAATCGCATTTTATGTCTTTTAACTATCACAATTTAAGAAAACTGAAATGGACTTTCTTAGTGGCAATCTGTGATTTATGGATGACTGAACAGATTAAGTGAAGTAAATCTGATATATTTAGGTCTAATTGCAGCACAAGAGTCATTACAACGAACAATATTATAAGAAAGTCAATATTTGTGCAAGTCTTAAATTTTATCCTTTCAATCAAATTTAACGAGTTAAATATAAAACAATTACAATTTTAATTTGAAATAGAACCGAGAATAACTAATTAAGGATAAAGAATTCCTATTTTAAATATCAAAAATTTTTAATGCATTCTTGTCATCGGAAGTTGTAATCGCAGGTCTGTGAACTCTAAATGAATTTGAACACAACATTTGATTGTCTACATATTTGTCCAGAAATAATTTTTATTTACCTGCGAAAAAAACTGGTGAATTCGAGTTTCCATAATTTATCCGTATTTGTTTGCTTATAAATAATAGTTTTTGTTTCTCCTATAAAAATAAATTGTGAACAAACAGATGTATAGAAAATTTTGGTAGGATTTAAAAGTTCAATTTGTTCGTTTTATCCACAATTATTTATAAATAATTGTTTACTGTTTGTTGATCACAAAAGGAATTATAAACAAAAATTGCATAATTTTTCTCACAAGTATCTCTATCCTATCTTATTTTTTTAATTATGGACAAATTAGGACAAATTGTAGACAGTCGAATTACAGATGTAATTAAAAAAAAAAAAATTTACTCAACTCATATATTTATGAAACTTTTTTATATATTTATTTCTTGCAGTGTTGATAAAAAAATATTTATAAACAAGTTTGGACAAATTGTCAATTTCCTAGATTTTGTGATAACAATATTTTTGGTTACACGTCCGAGTTTAGGTCGATACAACAGCATCAATCGCTGCAAAACCCTTTCGAAGAAAAGGCGTTCTATAAACGTCACCGCTTGCCATATCACGGCAGGATTTCCGTCGCAGAGATGATGATTTCCGCGAAATAAGTTCCCCGTGATGAGGCATCCTAGATTAACGGGTCGAGTCGCAAAAATTCGCGACGTCGGCGATTTAATTCTCACGCCGGTGGGATGTAGCGTGCGCGGTGGCGAGGAAGAAACGATCTCCTCGACGGAGATTAATCGAGCGCGTCGATCGGACGGATGGACGGATGCGCGCGGATGTAACACGCGCTGCCGGCTAGCTTGGATTATTCGGACGAGGACGACAAGCGAGAGCTTATCTCGCGGCTGTCGTCATATCGTGGACTCGGGGTTACGGCGAGAGGTTACATTTTCTTTTTTCCACACTTTTTACGCTCTTACTTTATCGGACCCTCGCTAACCGATAGCAACGGCTGGAGGCACACGGAGATGTCTCTTCTCTTCGCGTCACCTTATCCCTCCCCCCCCCCCCCC